GTTTTGGCAAATTTGGATGTATTCAAAGTGTTTGGAATAAGTTTTGATCAATTTTGGGTATTTTGGGCAAAATTTAAGAATTTTGGCCAAATTTGGGTCCCAAGGGCAGCCAGGCAAATTGGAGGTGCCTAGAGGTAAAAGGCCCAAGTTAGACATTTCAAGTAGAATTGGATAAATATCCATTATGAATGAGTCATAAACCAATGCATCGTGAAGATATAGTGTACCCTAGTTCCAAGTCAACACCCAGGGTCAATCCTAAGGTCAAATAACCCTATAGAAACTCTTCTTGAGCTTCCCCCATAATGATCTTACCTACTAAATATTAGAGGTTAGGACCAATATGTGGAACTTCAAGTTGAGTAAAGAGAAGAGTTTTGAGTTTCTAATGATGATGGTACCCTTTCTAGTTTTCTAAGACTAGTCTATAAGAAAATCTTATGGCTAAACCTAGGCTACTAAAGAAATTTCTAGACCTCAACCAAAAATGAGGTCAACAATGCTTCTGCACAGAAACTTTGTGGTAGTTCAGCGTGCAATCTCATGTTTCCAGCCCGCTCATTAATGATTTTGTTCATGCGCTCTCCAACTACATTTTGTTATGGTGTCCTAATAATGGTCTTCTCCATTCTGATATCCTGAGCTGCATAATACTCGTTGAACCCACCATCGATGTATTCACCACCATTATCAGACATCAAATATTTCAGTTTTAGATTTGTTTTTTTCTCAACCACGATCTTCCAAGTTTTGAACATAGTAAATATATCAGATTTATGCTTCAGAAAGTAAACTCATGCATTTCTGCTATGGTCATCTATGAAAGTGACGTAATAGCGAGAGCCTCCAAGAGATGCCACTGGTGAAGACCCCCATACATCGGTGTGTACAAGTTCTAGCTTTCCTGTCTTTGGCACCCTGTCACTTTTCAGGAAACTTACATTCTTCTGCTTCCCCATAATGCAACTTTCACACATGCTGAGGTCAACTGACTTCAGTTCTGATAGTTTTTCTCTAGACTGAAGCTCTTACATACCTCTCTGACTCATGTGTCCAAGCCTGCAATGTCACATGTCTGCTGTGCTCTCTGCAACTATGGTATCAACATTGTTAATTAGACCAGTAGTCATATATAGCGTACCAGTCTTTTTACCCTGAGCAGTACCAATTCTCATTTGGTAACCTTCCAGATGTTATCAGAGAATAATACTGAATGACCACTCTCATCGAGCTACCCAACAGATATGAGATTCTTTTTCAGTTTAGGAATGTGTCTAACCTTTTGCAGGATACATTTGTTTTTGTTAGGAAGTGCAAATTCAACATCTCCCATTTCAATGTCTCTTATCCCCACCACGCTTAGAGCTGCTCCATCAGCCAGGTACACTTTCCCAAAGTCACCTGCAACATAGTTTTGCATCAACTCCCTGTGGGAAGATGTGTGAAAAGAAGCCCCTGAGTCCAGTATTCAGTTGTCAACGGAGCTATAAACTGCAAGCAATAGTGCATCTCACACTTCTTCAATTACCGCATTAGCACTGACGTTCTTCGTTTTTTTAGGATTTCTGTAGTTCTTTTTTATGTGACCAATTTTGCCACAATTTCAACAGGTTACTTGTTGATCAAACTTTGACTTGCTCTTGCTTCTATGCCTTAATTTTGATCTTCCTCTGTTTGAATTCTTGTCCTGTGATCTCCCTATGGAATCAACATTCAATGCTGAACTCGAACCTAATGCCTCGCTAGAATCCTTCCTACGTACATCTTCAGCCAAAATTAAGTCACGAATATCATCATATTTTAGTTTAATTTTACCTGCAAAATTGTTAATTGTCATTTTCATGGCTTTCTAACTATTTGGTAATGAAGCCAACAATATCAACGCTCGTATCTCATCATCAAAATTAATTTTAACAGACAATAATTGATTTGTGATGGTGTTGAAACCATTCAGATGCTGAACGACAAACACGTATTCTGCCGTTTTTAAGTTGAATAACTTTTTTATCAGATGCACCTTCTTATTCGCTGATGACTTTTCATACATACCTGATAAAGCCGCCATGAGATTCACAGTCGTCTTCTCCTTGATGACGTTGTGGCAACGGATCTCGACAAAGTTAGTCGAATAGCCCCCAGAATTTGTCGATCAAACAGATTCCATTCAACTTCTTCCATCTTCTCCGATCGCTTTCCTAGTAACGGAAGATGGAGTTTCTTCCCATAGAGGTAGTCCTCTATCTGTATTCTCCAGTAATCAAAATTCGTGCCGTCGAACTTCTCGATCCCTGAAAATTTCACTTCGTCTCCGACTATCGTTCTTCCTCAAATCCGTATCGGGGCTCTGATACCAGGTGTTATGAAAAACAACGACAATAAAACGAAAAATTAGAACTAAAAAAAATTCATGTAAAGAAAAAATACTAGAGCGACACATATTTACGTGGTTCGGCAAATTTACCTACGTTCACGGAGCCAGAGCTGTAGAAAATTTATTTCTTCGAGGAATGACACCGTCGAACACCTCGACGTTTACAAAAAAAATCTCTATTTTCTTCTCTTTCTTCCTCTCTCTTCTTTTCCTCGCTTTCTTTTTAGAGTACTTGGCTCTTATAATAAGTCATAAGTGGTTATTTATAGAAACCAGGAGAGTTTAGAGTACTTGGCTCTTATAATAAGTCATAAGTGGCTATTTATAGAAACCAGGAGAGTGGTAGGTGAGCGGTAGGTAAGATGTGGTAGGTGAGATGTGGTGGGATAGTAGGTGAGCAGTAGGTGAGATTCTTAATTAGAAAGCTAATTAAATTGTGGTGGACCAGGTCTCCACATTACCCAACAAGAACATGCTTTTCTGACTCCAAAATTGCTTGATTTAAAACGAGGATTACTCGAATCCTTGAGTATAGAGCTAGTCCCGGTGGAAAATTGCCTAATTCTGTGAGTTTGATAATGGGGACCAGTCATGTTTTATCCAGTATGAAAAATATTCTGCTTGGATTCAGTATATTTTAAAGTGATAATATAGAAGCATTACACTACATGAATTAACCTGGATTTTATCCTTCATAAAGTTAGAACTGCTCTGAATTAGAAGAACAAAATCTTAGTTCCGAGTGAAACAGGCGATCAACAGCATCGATCAAAGTTAGAAAATGAACTGCATAGAGTAATAGAACTAATCGAAAGATTTATGCAGCAAGAAATGCTGGATAATGATCGGCAAAACCTACTAAATCTGCATCCAGCAAGAAATGCTGGATAATGATCGGCAAAACCTAATTTCATGGAATGGTCGACAAGTTGATCCGCAGCATAAATCTGCATCATCTACTAGACAGAAAACTTGCATCTTTCTTTGGGAAAGCTCTGAACTCACTGTGGTTCTCAACTTTTCATTGACCTGTGCAATGATATGTTATGCAGGCAGGCTGAAGTTGAGAAACTTAGGATGGATAATTGACCATTATTTTTCTTTTCAAGATGTAACAGCAATGGAGGAATCGATAAAGAAAATCCTCGGTGGTGATATTTTATTTTGTGACGATGATGTTGAAGTTGAAGTTAATAGCCCCAAGAGAGCAAATTATATAATAGGCGCGCATGAAGGCTATACCTGATGTCATTTATATTTTGTCTAAAATGGATATCATTGGTTTGAAGCTTAGAGATGAAAATCGAAAACTGAAACCTAAGATCACTGTTGTAGAGTATGGAAAGAATAATCTTGAAGAAATTGTGAAGTCAGTAAATGCTAGGAATCAATTCTTATTTACTGGATTTCAGGAGTATGAAAATTCTATTTCTAGGTTACGAGCAGAGCTGAAAATAATGAAGGATTCTGGAGGAGTGGTAGAGGATCAAAAGCTTACAACTAAAGATGTTGGAACTCAGCTTACAGCTGCTATGGTTGAGCAAAATGACACCAATCAGAGGTTTTCTCTCTTGAAGCTGAGCTACTAGAAAAACAAACTGCTGTGAAGAATTGAAAGCAACATGTTTAGAACCTCAGCATCAAACAGAGTGGTTTTTAAATTTAGATTTTGTACCTTTTTTTTTTCCTTTTTACCTAAAAGGCTACTAAAAGTAAATATTTATCTTTTCTTTCATTGCATTGTAGCAGATAGAGATATATCTAAATTTGACATGGTGCCAGAGGAAAAGGAATTGAGAACAGTAAGTTTGATAATCACGATAGGAGCTTTAAGGAAACCTTCCTTTTGACATATCGACCATGTAATTTTTGAGAATTGGATAGCATATTTTGGAAAAAAAGAGAAGTTTTTAATTTCAGCATTGTCTGTCTGTCGATAAGTTTCAGCATATCTATATTTACTATTATAACACAGGTGCGTTGATTTCTCATAGATGTATTTTCTTGACTTGGTAGAATGTGATTTTATTGTCTAAGAACTTTGTCTTGATAATTTAAATTTTATCAAAATTCATTCTTTTGATATTCTCCTTGAATTATATCTGGTGATAGCTTGAATTACTTAGTGAATTCCAATTGAAGGGCGGAGCATTGTTTGACTCTATAGTACTGGGAGATTTCTGCTGCTACAGAAAAATTAGCAGAGTGCCAGGATACCATCCTTCAACTTGGGAAGCAGTTAAAGTTCTTGTCTTCACCAAGGAACAATGCTCTATTTGACAACGTGATCTCATAATCTGCTATCTCAACAAATAGCCCAAGTCCACAATGGCTTGAGCAACTGATACCCATTGAAAGTGCCAAATCTGAAGCTCTGAAATCACCCCATAACAAAGAAATCATATGCAGTAGACCTCAAAAAACTGATGCAAGCATTCTGAATGGGCAGAAAGGCTCTGTGCTTTTTGTTTCAGAAATTCAGGAGAGCGGCATCTGTTATGCTTTACGTGCAAAATCACCTGATAGATCCCATGGAGAACTGGGTGGTGCTTTTATGCAGTGTGGAACTGAAGTAGGAGCTCTTGTGAGTATTCCAAAGGAACATAAAGGGGGAGTTTCTCTTCTGAGAAAATTACTTCCAAAGAAAAGGAAGACGGGAATAAGAAGATGATCGTAGCCAATGTTTCTTCCAACACTTTAAGCTGCTGAGAACATGAAAGATGTCAGCTGAAATGTTGCGACGGTTTTTATCTTGTCTGTCAGTGTAAGTTTTTTTTTTTTAATTTTTAAATATTATTATTATTATTATTTTGTTTTGTGTTTTGAGGGGTTTCTGTTTTTAATTAGTAAAGAGTGGATTGGGAGGGAATAATTTGTATGATTAAATTGTGCTCTTTGTTTTCTGTCTATATGTTGCTATAAAATAAATAAATAAAATCTCACCAATATACTTGAGATATTTTAGTGACCTTTATAATAGATTAGATGCTAAAAAGGGTGAAAAATATAGGTATAAACTAGTCAAACAAAGAGAAAAGAAAAGTAAAGATTTAACTCAAGTAAAGTGTATTGAAGATGAAAATCAAAAATCGTTTTTCTTAGAAGAAGATATTCGACATAGGTGGGAAAGTTATTTTGATAAATTTTTCAATGATATTTTTGAAAATACGTTCGAATTTAGTGATCTTAATTTTGTTAATAATAATAAAATATTTTATTTTTACCGTCATATTAGTAAAAAATAAGTTGATACTTTAAAGAAAACCAAACGTGGAAAATAAATATGACCTGATGTGTCAATTAAAGTAAGGAAACAGTTACGAGATTTGGGAGTTTCTTGGCTTACTAAACTATTTAATATTATTTTAAAAACTAAAAAGATGCATGAGGGGTGAAGGAAGAGCATTTTGGTCCAGATTTTAAGAATAAAGGGGATGCATAAGAGTTGATCATGATTGCAAAGTTTTAAAAGGTAAGCTATATGTGTGTGATCGTGTCGTTCTTATTTTTGACGTTAATCATACAAGGTTGACATAGCCCAAAGGGGAAACCGGCGTCTACTTACAGTCTTCGGTTGAAGAGCTTCAAATATTATGGGAGATGGTGTGTTTACCTTCGACATCACTACCAAATAAAATTTTCAACTGAAAATTTTAAAGAGAACTAAGTGTGGAAAATCAATATGACCTGATGATATGTCAATTAAAGTGTGGAAATATTTAAGAGATTTGAGAGTTTCTTGGCTTACTAAACTCTTTAATTTTATTTTGAAAACTAAAAAGATGCATAAGGGGTGAAGGAAGAGTATTTTGGTCCTCTTTTTTAAGAATAAAGGAGATGCACAGGAGTTCATTATAGTTGCAAAGGTTCAAAGGGTAATCTATATGTGTGTGACCATGTCATTCTTATTTATGAAGTTAATCATACCAAGTTCTTATAGCCCGAAGGGGAAATCGACGTCTACTTACAGCCTTTGATTGAAGAGCTTCAAATATTATGGGAGACGTGCGCGCGCACGTATGACATCGCTATGAAACAAAATTCTCAACTGAAAGTGACTCTTATGTGGACAAATAGCGAGTTTCCGGCTTATGAGATGTTTGCTTGTTGGAGCATAGCCGGGAAATTGACTGAAACATGGTCAGAAAAACAAATGGTTCTACTGCCTTCGAAGATTTCTAAAATGCGATCATCCATTCAGAATGAACAGAGATGTATTCTTCAAAAATAAAGTTGAGTTATCAAGTCCACTCCACGAAATTATTGGAGTCAATATGATGCAGATGATTAGTGAAGTGCCGAAGATTATCGAGAGACCAAAGCTATCTTCAACTGTCTTCCTGATTTCGGTGTCACGCACTACTGGACGAAACACAGTCTATTCTGGAATCTTCCGTACTGTAAGACTAATTTGAATTAGACATAATCAAATGTTATGCACATTGAGAAGAATTTTTTTGATAACATTTTTAACACTGTCATGAATAATAATAATAAGACAAAAGATGAAAGCTAGAGTAGACCTGAAAGAGTG